ACACACACACACACACATACACACACACACTCACACATACACACACACACATACGCACAGACATCCCATACTATAAAAAGAGAAAATGCAGAAAGAGATCCACCTCCACCATTTCTACAAATTAAATACAAGTTTTCAAAAGCCTATGGCGACACCAATAAAATCAAGCCCTGTTAAGTCAACGAGACTATGAAAGAAACATAATGTAGACACTGGTACTGGTTGAGTTTTTGCTGGAATTTAAAACCTGAACTTCACTTGGCGCACCAAATCGCCAAACTGATTCGTCAGTGCACAATACAGTAACTGTCTCTACTGAATAATTAAATATAGAGTTTATACACTCCTATTTTTGATAAACCCTGCCTGCCAAGGCCACACTGTGCTGAGAGGGATACAACATCCCAGCAGAAAGTCTTGAGATTCCAGATAAAAATTGTCCTCCCACGGGAATCGAACTTGGGTCTTCTATGTGCTACGGCGAAGCGCTTAGCCGAAACACCACAGGCGCTAGTTAACTGTCTGTGAACGTTACTGCAGCGTACAGGGCGATGGGTAAAACTAAACTTTAGCCCACCCTCTCCCCATTTGGAGTGTAGTTGAACTAGATCTAGTGCGCACTCATGCTGGTGTCTGCGCTCTCTGTTGGGCCACATTTAGGTTGCAGTGACGTCATACTTGAAAAGGTTTTAATATTTTCAAAATGGGTGGCGAAATTTACTTTTACCAAAAGAGAGTAGTCCTAAAGACATTGGTAGACTTTTTGTTGGATTTCAAAACTGAGACTATTTCAGCTCCTCAAGTTAAATGACTTAAATGTTTTATGTGAACGTTACTGCAGCGGTGCATCCGTTTTCGTCCCAAATCTTCGTTTCACTACCCGTTTTCGTCCTACTTTCTTCCGCCGCGATTGTACCTAGTGCAACCTATAACTATAAGGTGTTGTAACCTGTCGTGACGCCTCGTGACTTACCATCACAGTGTCTCTGCTGAAGGCGACATCTCTGGGTGCCCGTCACCTCGGGACATTGGGCACCGTTAGGGGACGCGTCCTGGGAGGAACAGGGGCCGGGTGTGGCGGGTGGGGGTGGTACAGTGGGAGATAAGGGGTGAGGGT